TAAAATATTATAAAATTAGTTAAAAGCCGCATCGGGTTTCCTAAGTGTCCTTATGAGATAGATCTTTTTTTATCGCGTTGTAAACTGTATCATTTTGACTAATCAGAAGATCCGCAGTAATTAAGAAATGTAATTTTGTGTTTATAATCGGGCTGTAATTATAAAGTACGGAAGACCAACCAGAATACAATTAAGTTGCTTTATTTGAGTTAAGCATTGTTCTCCGCTGTTAAGGACTTTACTTTTGCGAAACACGTGTGGAGAAGTTAATTTGATTTTTCAATTTAAACTGAGAAGGGTACCTACAAGTATCAGTACCATCTTATGAAATTTATATGATCGTATTTTTATATTAATCTCAGTTATGACATTTTTCCATAAATTAAATATCAAAATTAATAATAAAATGAATGGAAATACAAATAACACAGTAAAATGTAATAAATGTACATAAAATGATAGTATTTTATGTACACTTCTGATAAATTTTCATAAGAATGGTACCTATAAATTAATTAGATACCTTTCTTATGAAATATGAAATTTAATCTCACCTTTACAGTCTTATTTTAATTTCTTAAAAGCATCGTAAACCTAAAGGTGAATTCTAAGTACAAAAAAAAATGAACGCTGAAAGTTTTCCTTAAAAATAACGAGGTAAATAATTTGTTCACTTAAATGTAAATAATTTCACTTTTCTCCTTCCGTAGAACAAATTAACCTCACGGAATCCGTCAATATGTCATTTATCACCTGTCAAGTGAGGCGAAATTTTATGACCTGCTTTGTTTTATTTTCAAATTACATTCTTTTGGCGCAGCAGCTAAGTTAAGCTTGGTTCAAAATATTTTAAATAAACATTATAATTTCTGATTTTCTTAAAATAAGTTTTGAAAAAACGATAATTGATATTTAAAAGAATTTCAAAGTGAGATTTTCATTTTTTTATAAAATAGAAAAAAATGGTTGCCATCTGTCAATTTTGCTGACTCAAAAAAAAACAAGATTTTTAACGAAAATTTCGGACGTGCTAGGAACGATTAAAAATGTAAAAAAAAATACCCTCAAAATACTTTAATCTTTCCTCTTAATAATAACATAAACATTTAGACGATAAAATTTTGTTTTCATCAAATTTGGCGTCTTTTTCTTCATGCTATGCTTCTTTTTTAGCGATCTCGTGGAGGTACCTACTTTAACACGTTGTTTGATTGTTAATATTTCTATGGTTGAAATGGCCAAAGTCTTAAGTTGTTAAATCTGAATCGAAAAGAAAAAAAATCATTAGGCGCTTATTGGGACACCGTACATATATTTTTATTAATCTTCACGCAAAACAACTATAGACATATATAATTTTTTTTTAAGCAAATCGCTCCAAGCAAGGTAGGAGTACCACTAGCATGCAAGGGGTTACAGAGAGTGAGAGTAAGAGTAAAGAGGAGTGTTTGGAAAAAGGATAAAGAGAAGGACAAGGACCAAGGTCAAGACATCAGAAGATGTCGATTGATATTACATTTGAATATTTGCAGATTACAGTTATCAGAGAAGCAAGTAATAGGAATGGAGTTCCACTGATGGGAGGTGCAAGATAAGAAGCTGTTGGAGTAGAAGAGGTGGCTACATTTAGCCATTTCGACAGTTAAAGGTGGGACCGAGATTCCAACCTAATAGCATACTTAAATTCATGCAGTTTGGGAACCAGTGAAAGTAGATCGTCAGAGCAGTTGCCATGAAAGTACCTGTAGAAAAGACAGAGGGAAGCCACATCACGTCTGTGAGATAGCGACTGAAGACGGGATGCCAGATCAGGACCAACCGTCTCTGGATTTTGTCTAGGACCTCGAGATGAACAGCAGGAGCACTAGACCATATATTGCAGCAGTATTCCATGCAAAGACGAATGGTTGATTTGTAGATTTGAAGGATGGACTCCGGCGAGAAGAACCTTCTGGCGCGACACAGAGAACCAACTTTCCTTGCGGTAGATGCAGCTATTGATGCAATGTAGTTGTTCCACCTCAACTCAGTGGAAAACATGAGACTAAGCAGGCACAGAGAGGCGCTCTCGTGGAGTTGAGCATCAGCCATCCTGATGGGAGGCAGAGAGGGTTCTCTTTGGTGGGTAACTGAGAGCAGTTTTGCATTAAAAGCATTAAAGTTTACAAGCTATTTCCTGCCTCAGTCAACCACTTGAGGCCTATGACTAGGTTAGTTTTGTCAACGATGTATGATCTACTATTAAGGCGGGACTAAATACTAGTGTCGTCAGCGTAGATTTCCACTTTGGAGTTAATGACATCAGGAAGATCGTTGATGAAGATCAGAAACAGTGTAGGGCCCAGGATAGAGCCTTGGGGAACGCCAGCGTTCGTGGGAAAGGAACTGGGGGAGAACCCGTTTATGAAGACCGTCATTTCACAGTTTGACAGAAATGATTTAAGTCAAATAATAGTCCTGTAATGCCGTATCCCTGAAGCTTACGAAGAAGGCCAGTGTGCCAGACCCTATCAAACGCTTTAGAGATATCTAAAGCTACGGCTCGGGGTTATCCGTTATTGTCGAGTGCTTGTTATAGAAATTCAGTTATGGTCGTCAGCACGTCAGCGATGGACCGGGCAAAGCGGAAACCGTATTGCTTGTCTGAGAACAGATCATGGGATGTAAGGTGCTTGACCACTTCAGTATTGATTAAAGCCTCAAAGAATTTGCTAAAGAGTGGTAAGAGACTTATAGGACTGTAGTTACATGGTTCAGAAGGGTCACCGGATTTCTTAAAGAGAGGGACAACAGTTGAGGTCTTCCAACAGGCTGGAAAGCAAGAGTAAGTGAGGCAATTATATAGTTTGAACAATACTGGTGCCAGTTCAGGAGTACATCTCTTCAGAACAACGGCTGGTATCCCGTCCCCACCGCTATAGAAGTCTAATTTGGAGACGACGTTCAAAACCATCGATTGGGTTGTTTATGCCACTCAACAGAGCCTCAGTTCTAGAGAGAAAATCAGATGTGGGTACTCCGGATGAGTCGAGCGTTGAATTCGATGAGAATTTTCGAGCAAGGCATTCAGCCTTATCAGCTGAGGAAGTCAGTACCTCAAATTGTATTGAGGATTTTCTGTTGTTTAGCACGCTCTTGCAGAGCCGCCAATAATCTCTAGAACCAAATTCACGAGATGCAATACGTTGTTTCATTTTTCCAGCAAATAGTAGGTTTGCTTCATTGAGGACACGCTTGCACACATTACGGACAGAGACAAAGAGACATCTGTTTCTATCAGACATGTCACTTCGGTATAAATGGAAAAAGAGATTCCTATGGGCAATAGCATCTGAGCAAGCGGCTGTGAACCAAGGAGATGAACACGATTTAACTTTGTATTTTCTTGCTGGAATGAAAGCCTCAATTCCAGCTTTTACCCAGGAGGAAACCTCAGACGCACATTTTTGAAAGGGGAAATAAAAAACCACATTCCAGGAGACATCGCGAAGTAAATCACGGAACGAGTCCTAGTCTGCGCGTTGATAACAGACAGATATTCTGTTAGTAAGAGGTTCTTTGCTGGGGGGGGGGAGTAGAAGGAGATGTTAACAGACACGACGGCATGATCAGAGTTGCCAAGAGGGCAGAGCTGCATGACACGACAGAAGTCGGGGATGGAGGTAAAACAGAAATCGAGAAGGGAAGCCATGCTGTCAGGGTTACTGGGAAAACACGTAGAAAAGTCAACCACTTGCATGAGAGATTCAGTGATTGAAAAGTTAAAGTTTTGTATGCCAGTGAGGTCAGTTATAGAGTTTTTAAGCCATGTGGTATGGTGGGCATTAAAGTCACCAAACACGAATATATGTGCAAACGGATGAAGAGAGATGGCCTTGTCTATATTATCAGAAATGATGTCGAGTACACCACAGTCTTGAGAGGTAGGGGAACGATAGAGAAAGAAGTAATAGCTAACAGAATTGAGGAGAGATAGATGGAGACACATATATGTATGGTCGGGAGATTGAAGAGAGAGTTCCCTCGTCAGGTGTAAACTCCCGGGACATGCATGTTGATTTTAGAGTCCCTTTCTAAAGAGAGTGGAGATAATCAGAAGATGCAAATATAAATTCATAAATAAATGCATGGACAAATGAGGCCATTTATCGCTTAACATTTTGTCGACAGCAACTGTGTGGATAGAACAAGGACATTTTTATAGCCTAAATACTTCACCACCTGAAACTGAAGTTGTGCAAGCTAGTTTGATTAATAATATTAGACTTTAACCTCACATCGACTCAGTCACAAGTAAACAGGATATCGTTAAATTAATCAAATAGATAATTATCGATTAACCGCACATATATAAGATATTTCAAGATCTAACGTAGACCTCTTTAACAAGTCTAATATTGGAGGAATCGAGACTTTTCTCATACAGTCTCAGTTACGGTGGACTGGTCATGTCTTGAGAATGCCTGATGACAGGATACCCAAGATCCTAATGTACAGCCAATTAGATCAGGGCTACAGGAAAGTAGGACGCCCATGGCTAAGATACAAAGACAAGCTGAACAGCAACTTTACAGCTGTCAATATACCTCATAACACCCTCGAGTGCTTAGCCTTGAAGCAGGTAGAATGGAGATCAATGTGTTTTAGTGGACTTAGCAGTTTTCAATCTGCTTGTCTGAATCATCTTCAAGAAGCGAGAGCAAAATCTAAAAGGCCAGCCAATCTAACAGTGATCTCATCCCACAATCCTTACCCTTGCTCCATATGCGGCCTCCTTTGTAAATTACTAGCGGGTCTTAAGTGCTACTTAAGATTATCGCACAAAATTTCATAACTGAATCGATCAAGTTGTCAGATCTTCATACGTCGAAACCGACGGGAGAGTCCATTATACATACACACACACACACACACACACACACACACACATATATATATATATATATATATATATATATATATATATATATATATATATATATATAGCTTCTCCATTCTAGTTTTCCTTTCCTCTATTCTTTGTTTTCTTCTTTTTCGTCTTCTTCAACTCTTTTTCTACTTCATTAAATAGTATTTCTCTCTCTGCTTCTTTTTCCTCTTCTCCTTTTACGCCTTCTTCTTCAACACTTTTTCTTCTTCACAAAGTCGTATTTCTCAATCTTCTTCTTCCTCTTCTTTTTCAACACTTTTTCTTCTACAACCGGTATTCACTAAATCGTATTTCTCAGTCTCCTTCGTCTACCTCGTTTACTTCTTATTCAAATTTTTTCCTCTTCACAAATTGGCATTTCTCAGTATTCTTCTTCCTCTTCTACTTTTTCTAATCTTCTACTTCTTCAACACTTTTCTTCTTCACTAACAAGTATTTTTCAGTCACTTTCTTCTCCCTAATTGCTTCTTTTTGACAGTTTTTCTTCTTCACTAACTCGTATTTCTCAGTCAGTTTCTTCTTCCTCTTTCCTTCTTTTTTAAATTTTTACTTCTTCACTAACTTGTATTTCTCAGCCACTTTCTTCTTCATCTTGGATTCTTTTTCGACTCTTTTTCTTCACTAACACGTATTTCTCAGTAGTTTTCTCCTTCCTCTTTGTTTCTTTTTCAACTCTTTTTCTTCTTCACTAACACGTATTTCTCAGTCTGTCTCTTCTTCATCTTTGATTCTTTTTCGGCTTTTTTTCTTCTTCACTAACTCGTATTTCTCAGTCAGTTTCTTCTTTCTCTTTGCTCCTTTTTAGACTTTTTTCTTCTTCACTAACTTGTATTTCTCACTCACTTTCTTCTTCCTCTTTCCTTCATTTTTAACTTTTTTCTTCTTCACTAACTTGTATTTCTCACTCACTTTCTTCTTCATCTTGGATTCTTTTTCGACTTTTTTTCTTCACTAACACGTATTTCTTAGTCACTTTCTTCATCCTCTTTGCTTCTTTTTCGATTCTTTTTTTCTTTTTCACATATTTTTCATCTTCTTTTTCTTTTTTTTATTCTTCTATTTTTTTTCTTCACCCTCGTTAAATCTTGTCTTCTTATGTTCTCAGGCACATCTACGTCTTTTTGAACTTCTTTAATTTTTTTCTTCTTCCCATATTCGTATTTCTCATTCTTCTCCTTCTTTCTCTTTTTCTTCCACGTCTTTTTCAATTAATAATTATCATTTTTTCATTGTATGTTCATGTCATATTTGCCAGAATTATTAAATTTAATGTTTTAATTTTTTTTATTAACCTTACTAATATTTACTTTACTAAACTGTTTAAAGTTAGAAATACATTTTTATGGACGTAAGCAACATGAAAGAATTCATACAGTTGACTTTCACGAAAGTGTAACAATCTCGTGTGTAAATTTTTATTTTTCACATACCAAAAAAATAAATAATTCGAAAAATGTTTAGAATATGTTGCAAACAAATAAATGAAACAGAATCAAAAAGTGTGCAAACTGTTTTCAAGCTTCGTTGGCGTATATAACAAAAGAAACAAATTGAATTTAGAGTGGAGCCCAGCAAAAGATATAATCGAATAAAATAAAATTAGTTGAAATAAAATTAAGTACGAAATGCGAACAACAGATTAGATCTGGGATAGATTGGGAGAAATACAAAAGAAATGTTAATGTGCAATTTGGAAAGACAAGATAAAAGATAAAAAATTAAACTGATAAAGTGAGTCACAAGAGGCTGGAACCTGCTTGAGGTTCTAAGAAAACACGACTTCAAACGTCCACACAATTTGAAATGTTCTGAGAAGTCATTCAAGTACTTGCGCGATGGTGGGAGGATCGATTTGAACTCGTCTTGAGAAATTGTGTATGTAGGTTAACCTAATGTGTGCGTGTATGTCTGTACATGCACTGTTTTGTGTACACGTACATGCAGTGGAAGAAGAAGAAGAAGAAGAAGAAGAAGAAGAAGAAGAAGAAGAAGAAGAAGACTATATATGTTTTAAAGAAAGTGGTGTAAAAAATGTGGCGTAATTATTTTAACCCTTCATCTGTGCATAATTCTTTACCTTTTTCCCAATATAATATAAAACGAATGAGTCCAAATCGAAATGACTATGGCACCATATTGCTACAATATTTCATTCTGTCTTGCCCTTATTTGTTAAAAATCGGTATCCATTATTCACACTGATTTTGTTCATTCTCATCAATTTGTACAGTATTTTATTTGTAATTCTTATCAACTTTTTTCTTCGTTGTGAATGTTTTCGTGCCTTTCATGATTACAGCAACATCCTTATCGCAATTATTCATCATACCTGTGACAGTACACAATACATAGATAAATTTGCACATTCTATGTATATTGACTGATTAACAATTGTTTCATTATTATAATTATCTAGATATACTTTTTTTAGTTTTTCTTCTGCTTTCTAACACCACCACCACCATCGTCATCATCATCGTTTTTACCTTTTTTTCCGTCAATAGATATTTAGCGCAAAATTATCTGATGGTTTTCGCTTGGAATAAAATAACAGCAAATCTCTTCACAACTTCAGTATTCTTTCAGAAATATTTTGCTTTTAATTTTCGCATTCCCGTATCTGATCGTACATTCTGGGCGGTCAAGTGACAACAAATCTCCTCAGTGCTCAACAGTTTCTTAATTTTTGTGTGGGCTGTGTCCCACCAGGACGCGGGCGGCCATGGATCTCCACAGCTTCCTGTCATTAGTAGCTCTTAGCAAAGTTTGTCTTTTTGATATCTCTCCTAATCCCTGATCTGCCAACCATTTACATAAGCTCATTAGATAGGTTATGTGCTGCTTTCCTCTGTCCCTCTTTCCTTAAACATGTGAGTGTTAAATTTTCCAAGCCTTCTTTCCTCATTATGTACACTAGAAATTACAAAATAACTTACTTCTTCTTACTCTATGTACTGTATCCCTTCAGGACGTGGGCGACCATGGCTCTCCACAGCTCCCTGTCATTAGTAGCTCTTAGCAATGTTTGTCTTTTTGCTATCTCTCTTAATCCCTGTTCTGCCAACCATTCACCCAATCTCGTTACGTAGGTTATTCTCTGCTTTATTCTGTCTCTCTCTCTTTCAACATGTGAGTGTTAAATTTTCCAAGCCTTCTTTCCTCATTATGTGCTAGAAATTACAAAATAACTTTTACTTCTTCTTAATCTATGTGCTGTATCCCTTCAGGACGTGGGTCCATAGATCTCCACAGTTTCCTGTCATTAGTAGCTTCTTTTTTTTTTTATAAGCGTTTCACTCTAAGCAAGGCGGGAAGCCACGAGCACTCAGGGGGTTACAGAGAGTTGGAGCGAGATCAAATAGGGGAGTGGTGGAGGAAAGGATGAAGTGAAGGATAGAGCAATGATTGTCTTTTTGATATCTCTTCTAATCTCTGTTCTGCCAACCATTTACACAATCTCGTTACGTACGTTATTCTCTGCTTTCTTCTGTCCCTCTCTCCTTCAACATGTGAGTGTTAAATTTTGCAAGCCTTCTTTTCTCATTATGTCCGCTAGAAATTACAAAATAAGTTTTACTTCTTATCTCTTAGCAATGTTTGTCTTTTTGATATCTCTCCTAATTTCTGTTCTGACAGCCATTTACACAAGCTCATTTGTTAGGTTATGTGCTGCTTTCCTCTGTCCATCTTGCATTATCCTGTGAGTGTTAAATTTTCCAAGCCTTCTTTTCAAATTATGTGCGCTAGAAATTCTTTCTGATTCTATGTATAAGTGTCCTTTTTGTCTTGTTCCTTTTCTGAATTTCTAATTCTTCCGAACTTTTAAAAATGTTTTTTGAGACTATTCCAAGTATCTCTGTAATCGTGGGTACAATTTCATGTTATTTGAGTAAGAAATACGCCAAAGAGATTACATTAGAATACAAATATACTAAGCCCATCAAGACATCCGGTGGGATAAGAGTATATCAAGCACATGCATCACAGCCAAATAAGCGCAATATAATGACAGGTTTTGATCCAAAAAGCATCTTATAATCTTGCAACTGTGGCACATTTAGAAATAACTTGAGGTCGTGTAACCTAGACCGCTTTTTGAGTAAAAACCGGTATCAATGCTTTTGTGTCATCTCGAAAATACTAGTTGAAACCACAATCTTCTTTTTGGTTTACACCTACCTGAGCAGCCGCTATAGCCTAAAGGAATCACTTTTTTCTGGCTGCACACACGTGATAGTTCTGATCATAAAACTGTGGCTGAACGCTTTTTCTATAAATATTTTCATGGTAACTGTTCTGATGAACTTAATAATAAATTTAACTGCAATACTAAATGGGCAGTTAGGTCTCATCATATTATTGTTGAAATTACTTCTTTTCATTATAAGTTCTATGCTAACAGTTTCTTCTCTCACACTTCTCACTTGTGGAACTCTCTTCTAGTTTCTTGTTTTCCAGTCACCTTTTTATTCTTCAAAAATTTAAATGCAATGTCAAACGTTATCTTTTGTGTTCTTAATTCCTGTTCTTTTATTGTTTTCTCTCCTTAATAATGATTTTTTCTCAGATTCTTTCACACTCAGTAACCCCTTATGTCTTAATGGCTTTATTACCTTGCTTGGGGTGAAATGATTAAAAAACAAATAATTTTCAGAAATTAAATAGTTTTTGGTTTTTCAATCTTAAAAGATTGAAAAACCAAAAACTATTTAATTTTAAAAACAGCAGGACTTGGGAATTTCTCTGATACAGTCTTCATTTTAATGTTATCCTAAAAAAAATGAAATTTACAGCATTTTAATTAATTTTTTAACATTAATGTCTATATTTTTTCTTTGCAGAGCCAGTTTTGTCTAGAAAAAAAGAGTCCTGAAAAATTTGAATTACCATCAACCTACCAACTGTTTAGTGAAATTGGTGAAGCCACAGCAGCTGTCCTTGATAAAAGGGTAACTTTGTAAATCTTTAACATGATGACTAATGCAGATGCACAGGCCTGTATCTAAAATCGTTAAATTTCTTATATTGGTTATAAAATTATGACTTTGACATCCTCTCAGGTGGATGCCTGGGTGGTGTAATGTATAGCGGCTCAGAATGAATCTATTGTAAAAATATGCTGTAAACCAAACCAAACTAAATTGGCAGTTAGGTCTCATCATATTACTGTTGAAATTACTACTTGTCATGATAAGTTCTATGCTAACAGTTTCTTCTCTCGCACTTCTCACTTGTGGAACTCTCTTCTAGTTTCTTATTTTCCAGTCACCTTTTTATTCTTCAAAAATTTAAATGCAATGTCAAACGTTATCTTCTTTGTTCTTAATTCCTGTTCTTTTATTGTTTTCTCTCCTTAATAATGATTTTTTTTCTCAGATTCTTTCACACTCGGTAACCCCGTATGACTTAGTGCTTTTATCACCTTGCTTAGGGTGAAATAATTTTTGTATATTTTGTAACGTAGCTTCCCTGTGCCTTTTCTATAAATACTTTCATGGTAATTGTTCTGATGAATTTTCCGCTATGGTACCTAGACTTTATGAATTTAAGCTCAGTACTAGATTGGCGGCAAGGTCTCATCATTTTATAGTTGAAATGGCTAGATGTAACCGCAAGTTCTATGCTGACAGATTCTTCTATTGCACTTCTTACTTGTGGAGCTCTTTTCCGGCTTCTTGCTTCCCAGTCAACTTTGATCTCCAAAAATTTAAAAGTCATTATCAATCGTTACCTTTTGTCTTCTTAATTCTTGTTCTTTTATTATCCTCACTCCTTAAGAGTAGTTTTTCTCATATTTTCTAACACCTTCCGTCCTAGTGGCTTGGGGGGGTTAAAAAATTCTTTTATATATATATATATATATATATATATATATATATATATATATATATATATATATATATATATTCACATTCACTTAGTGTCTTCACAGTCCAATTTTGAACTGTTGGATAGCTCATCGGCTTTTTTGTTTTTGGTAGGTTTGTTCTCTTGTTTTTTTTTCTTTTCGTTTTTGCTTTTTTTTTGTTTTTGATTGGTGTGCGTGTGTGTGTGTGCGCGCGTGTGTGTGTTGTGGTAAACCCTCCTTCAGTAAAATGAACTCTTCCTCCTCGCATAAATACTAAACGCGAGACT